CCTGCCCCGCTCCACACACAGTGACCCCTACTGACCAGTGCTGGTATTGCATAGTAATCTCTTGTTTATAAAAGAGAAGATACAAAATATAAAGAAAAAAATATGATAAATTAGTGGCGATAAAGTAGCGGCAGAATCCCCTGACGCGCGCATTTCGCCTAAGCTCGTCGCTTAGGCGAAACGCGCGCGTCAGGGGATTCTGGCGCTACTTTATCGCCACTAATTTATCATATTTTTTTCTTTATATTTTGTATCTTCTCTTTTTATCTGCTGTCTCATTTAGGAGAGTATTAGTGGGGGTTAGTCCTGGTGCCCATGAAGGCACATGGGGGGTTTCTAGCCTTAGGACGCTATTTACTATCATATACTAGTGGGCGTTAGTCCTGGTGCCCACGAAGGCACATAGGGGGTATTTAGCCTTAAGACGCTATTCATTATCATGTTATTTTTTTGCTTATTTACTTTTCTTCCTTTTCTGTGAATATTATCACATTTATCCTGTCATTTTAGCACGATATTACGTTTCGTGCTTTACCCACTGCTATTTTTAATATCCTAGCAGCAGCTTCTACCATAACTAGGGCTTTCTGTCAGTATTTCCTTTCTTTTCTATTTAGCAAATGTTACTATGTACTATTCAGCACTTGATAGCTCTACATTCACTATGTAACATCTTTGCTCATCACATATTGCTCACTATTTGAGCAACGCTAGTTTTGTAGCCGCATGCCGAACTGGGTGCTGAATCTGATTTTTCAGTAATAGCTTATTATCAGCTTAGCTTCGTATCGCTAGGACCAATACTGTTTCCTTAGATTATGAGGCAGACATTTTTTTTTTTTTTTTGACATTCTTATTTAGTTTGTGGTTTGACAAGGAAGTAACAGTGCAAACATTCCTTTCCATAACAGTGTTACGCTAATGACCCCTTTTGGTATACCCCTTCCCTAATTGCCCCCCCCTGCTGAGGTGCAAGCCTGTTGTGAGTGCTCAGTTGGCAGCCAGGTTCTCACCGGACGGCAGGGGCAACCCCCCGAGGGCCACCAATGGCGCCATTACTCCCTTTCCCCACTCCCCATCCCCCGCCCCCGAGTCTCGGACCCCATGTGGAGAAGGTTGTGGGTGAGGTGGTAGGTAGGTGAGTATGCGCATCATGGCGCAGTTTGGACGGGGCTCCTTGGTTTAAGGTGCGGGCCGAGCTCTCCCCTCTAGGGGGGGGGGGGATCTCGTGCGGGCCTGGGTGTTTTAGCATCCCCGCGCCCTCCAGAAGCGAGAGGGGCACCCCCTGGTCGTCTGCATCCCCTAGGTCATGGTCAAGGGTAAGGGGTCCTCGTGCCGTCCGCTTTCCCGGGTGGCCGAGTCGGGGCCACGTTCAGATCTTCTGGGTCCCTCTGGGGCTGTCAGGTGTCAGGGCCTGGTGGTGTCATGTGAGCTCCGAACCCCCGGTCGCCCCACAGGGCCAGTGTGTGCGGGGCGAGCTCCCTTTTGGGCGTCCGGCTAGCTATGCTCATCGAGTGCGGCTCTCCCTACACAGTCTCGTTCTAGTTCATAATCGCCTGTGTGAACTTGGTTGGGTACATTGTATGCGTGGTGCCCTTGGACCCTGTCAATACCAAATCCGGGTTGTGCGGTGTTTATCTTGTGAGGGAGGGGTTCAGGCCGAATGTGTCGGGTCCTTTATGTTAATAGGGGGGGAGTGAGCCGGGTCCCCTCAGGAGCCGGCGCGGGTAAGGGGCAGGGAAAGGGGGAGGAAAAAAAAAAGGGGGGGGATGTACCCCGCACCCCATGACCCCCCACGGCCCCCCACGGCCCCCCATCAACCGTCCCCGGCCTCCCTCCCAGACCCCCGATGGGCCGGCGACCCCCGCCCCCGGTCCGCCATAAAAGTGATCCAGGGGGCCCACAGTCGGGTACAGCGCTCCTGTGTTCCCCGGAGCTCAGCCGTGAGGGTCTCCATCGTGTATATTTCGTCTGTCTTATCTAGCCATTGAGATAGCGTGGGGACGTCAGTCGACTTCCATCTGGCGGGGATCAGGCTCTTGGCGGCATTGAGGAAGTGCCGAATTAGGGATTTTTTGTAGCGTGGTATTGGCATTTGCGTATGGCTGAGTAACATGGGCAAGGGCTCCATGGGGATATCTTCCTCAAGGATTTCCACGAGTTTGTCATGTACCAGTTGCCAGTAACCTGTGATCCGAGGGCATGTCCACCAGATATGCAGGTCTGTACCTTCAGCGGCTGTGCATCGCCAACATGAGTCGTCAGATGTCAGCCCCATGGACCGCAGTTTAGACGGAGTCCTGTACCAGCAGGTCAGGACTTTGTAGTTAAGTTCTCTCATTTTGGTACTTAGTATCCCTTGGTGCGTGAGGATGTGAATCTTTTCCCATTGCTGGTCCGTCAGGGCGACCCCCGTTGCCTGTTCCCACTTAGCGTGGAAATGCGCTGGCGCTCCCTGGTCAGCAGCCAGGAGCATTGCGTAAAGCGTCGATATCCCACAGGTCAGGTGTTCTTCGCTGGAACAGAAAGTCTCAAATTGCGTGGGGTCTCTGTGCAGTAACTGTTTCCCTTGGAAGGTGGCGTAGTAATGCTTAACCTGTTGATAACGGAATTGGAGTAGGCCTGTGGGCCTGGTTTGCGCCGTCAGGTAGGTTTTCATCTCTGTCCTGGTACACCACGCCCGGAGGAGCTGGGCCTCCCTTCCTCCGAAGCCGGCCACGTCCTGCGCTCGCAGCCCGTCAGCCAGGTCGGGGTTGTACACCACCGGCGTCATGGGCGCGGGGTAGGTCGTGAGCTGTAATTTATAGCGGATGTTCGACCATATCCTCATCGTCGCCCCAATGAAGGGGTGGCGTCTGAGTTCCTGGTCTCATCGGGGCCCGCGTCCAAACCACCGGCGGAATCCGTCCCCTCGCCCACGCCAACTCCAGTTGGACCCATTGTTTGTCCGTGGCTGACACATGCCAATCGACGACACGGGAGAGGTGAGAGGCCTGGTAGTATCCCCGGATGTGCGGAAGGCCCATGCCCCCCCGGTGCTTCGGGAGGATGAGCTGCGCCCTCCTCACTCTCGGTGGGCCCGTCGACCATATGAATTTCAGTATCGCGGAGTCCAGGGATCGGAAGAAGGACTGCGGGAGAGCTATTGGAATGGTCTGGAACAGGTACAGCAAGCGTGGTAGCAAGTTCATCTTCACTGCATTTATCTGTCCGAACCAAGACACACAGAGCTTCCCCCAGCGCATCAAGTCCGTTTGGAGTGTGCGGAGGATGGGGAGGAAGTTTTCCTGGTAGAGCTGGGTTAGATCCCTCGTCAACCAGATCCCTAGGTATTTTAATCGGCGTGTGCACCACCAAAAGGGGAAGCGAGCCTGCAAGAGTTCCCCCAGCTTATGTGTCAGGGATATATGGAGAGCTTCCGACTTCGTCGCGTTGAGTTTCAAGTTGGAGAGGGCTCCAAACGCATCAAATGCCGAGAGTAGATTGGGGATCGTGACCAGTGGGCTTCCTATGAAGAATAGGAGGTCATCCGCATAGGCCGCCACCTTATGTTCCCGGCCGCCTTGGGTGAGCCCCGTAATTCCCCCATCCCGCCTGACCGCCTCCAGAAAAGGTTCCAGAGATAGGGCAAACAGAAGGGGGGACAGGGGGCACCCCTGCCGGGTCCCGTTTTTTTATCTCAAATGTCGGTGAGAGGACTCCATTGATCCGGAGCTGGGCCATTGGGGTCGCATAGAGTGCTGCGGTCCAATGCAGGATGTTTGGGCCGAAACCCATCGTCCGGAGCGTGGTTTGGAGGAAATGCCAGTCCACCCTATCAAAGGCCTTCTCAGCGTCGGTAGAGAGGAGAAGGCTACCTCGCTCGGAGCGCTGTTGTGTATGTAGGATGTTGAGGGCCCGGACCGTATTGTCTTTGGCTTCTCTCCCTGGGATGAAGCCAGTCTGATCCGGATGGACCAGCGTAGAAATCAGGCGGCCTATGCGGTTCGCTAGGACCTTCGTAAAAAGCTTAAAGTCGGAGTTGAGTAGCAATAGTGGTCTATAACTGGAGCACTCGGCCGGGACTTTGCCTTCCTTGGGTATTACCGTTATGGTTGCCAGGAGGGTGTCCCCCTGGAACCGTCCTTCTTCCAGTAGCGAGTTCAGGCCCGACAGTAGCTCCGGCAATAGTATCTCTCCGAATGCCTTAAGGTAGCGTGGGGGGAGCCCATCTGGCCCTGGGGCCTTGTCGAGGGGGGTGTTTTTTTAGGGCCCCCTGGAGCTCCTCAATCGTGATGGGGGATTCGAGTTCCTCCCTTTGTTCGCGCTTGAGGGTCCGGGTGACATGTTGGTCTAAGTAGTCCTGTCTGGTGCAATGTTGTAGAGCTTGGCATAGTAGTCTCGGAATTCTCCGATTATCTTGTCAGGTACTTGTGTAAGGGGACCGCTGCACGTCCTGATTTTAGTTATATGGCTCTGGCGGCGTTTCTGCTGCAACATTCTGGCGAGCAGGCGGCCACACTTATTGGAGAACTCGTAAAAGTGGCGATTGGATTTCCGCAGTGAATGTGAGAGTTGTTTAGACAGTTGGTGTTGTAGGGCCCGTCGTGCATCTAAGAGCGCTCTGTATACTTCCTCCGAGTCTGTAGCTTTGTGTTCTTGGTCTAACTGGGTGACCCTTGTGTGGAGGTCTGTTAAGAGCCTGCGCGACTCCTTCTTTCGCGCTGTACCGACCTTGATGAAGTATCGCTGGATTACGCACTTATGTGCTTCCCAGCGGGTCAGGTGTGACGTCTCTATAGAGTCGTTTTCATTGAAGTATTGGCGAAGAACCGACTTGGCGTCTGCCAGGGTGACTGTATCTGCAAGCAGTTGGTCGTTTAGCTTCCATTGCCGGCGTGTGGGCTTATGTAGGGGGGACGCCATGACGGCCAGGACCGGTGAGTGATCGGACCAAGTGGCCGGAAGGATCTCACATGAGTGCAGCAGGTGGAGGTACTCTTGGGAGATAAAGATGTAGTCTAGTCTGCTGTGACCTCGATGCACTGGGGAATAGTAGGAATAATCTCTCGCGTCTGGGTGAAGGACCCGCCATCCGTCCGCGAGCCCTGCCGTTCGAAGTGCCGTCTGGGAGACCCGAAGGCAAGTTGCCGACAGTGAGCTACCCCCCCTCGAGGTGTCTATGCGGGGGTCCATGGGGACATTGAGGTCACCCGCGAGGATCAGGAGCCCTTCCCGGAAACCCTCAAGCAGCCGTGCTATTTTAGCGAGGAAGCGATATTGTTTGGCATTAGGTGCGTACACGGAGGCGAAGGTGTAGCGCCGATCTGCTATCGTGCCTTTAATGAATAAGTAGCTTCCATTCGGGTCGGCCAGTTCCTCCAGGCAGGTGAAGGGCACAGTGCTGGCGAAGAGGATAGCCACTCCTGCTTTCTTGGCGTCTCTGTGGTTGGCGAACCCCGCAGGAAACCTCCGATCCCCGAGAACCGGGGCCTCTCCCCCCTGAAAATGGGTCTCCTGGAGAAATGCGACCGAAGCCCGAGCTGCCCACAAAGCTCTCAGCAGGTGCGATCTCCGTTCCGGCGTGTTCAGGCCCCTGACATTGTTGGACCAGAGGCGAAGGGGCGCCGGGGCAAACCCCCCAGTACCCGGGGTGGGCATGGAGGCCAGAGCGGCGTCACAGGGGCCGAGGGGGGGGAGGGGCGGACAAGGGGGAGGGACCGGCGGGGAAGGGGCGCAGGGGGAACCCGGGTGTGCTCACCTAACTCAGGGGGCCCACGTATGGGGCGGTGTCCCCTGGTCGCGGGTGCGCGGTGGGGCGGTAGCCCCTAATATCAGAGGGGTGTGAGTTAAACGAGATAAACAAACACAACAATGAAACTATGTACAAAAGCAGACTTGACTGTCTAGTTGGGTGAATCCGATCTGGGTGTTCCGTCTCTTAAATTAACCACCCACCTGGTCCCCCGTCTTAGTGTGTGTTACAGTCTGTCTGTGGGTGCGCGTGTGGCCCAGTGCGGGCAGAAGTGAAGGATGGGCGTATCCTCAAATGAGAGCTACTTGCCCTGTCTCTATAGAGGTCCCCCATGTCCTCTCCCCTGGCCCTCTGCGTCTGTCTATGGCCATTCTGAGCTAAGATGTGGTCCGGGTGGGGGTTACATAGGTCTGGGTCCCATTTCGTCTGAGTTGCAGTCTCCCCCCCGCTCAGTGGATTCAGGGGCAATGGCAAGTGCAAATGGTCATCTCGCGCCCGTCCCCTCGGGCATTCTCCGTGCTGGGGCTCTCACCCCATCCCCACCAACCCCTACCCGGCCCGCACTCCCACCCAGAGTCCCCCCAGCAGCTGTCCCGGTACAGTGCGTGCAGGACCCCGCCAAGCGTCCCGGCTCCCCCAGCTGCCCCCAGGACCCACCCCAAACCCGGGCGGAAACTAACACTTCCGGTCCCTATACTAACCCGGGAACGGGAAAGCACCATGGGGGGCACGCGCCACACAGGCATAGAAAAAGGGAGGGGGGGCCCCAAGCTCCCGGGGCACGGTCGGGAGATCCCCTATGGGTAAAGAGTGCGGCAACAAGTGGCAGTACATTTGTCCCGACCGGAAGGGGGTAAAAGTTGGTGGCGGCCGGAGACCAGTATCCGCTAGTGTTCCAGAGGCTGCTTCGTCCTCCCTCCCCACCTATGCTACCTTATCCCGCTATGGGCAGCTTCTCCCCCCCACCCAGGACCAACCAAGTACCTCGTGGTCCGGCTGATTCCGGGCCACCCGGGCTCCTTGTGCCCCGTTACTCCTCAGCGCCGCTCGGTCCACCACACATCCGGGGTGACCGGGCTTCTTCTCTCTAGGGCCCCAACGCCAGGATGGAAAGCCACGGTGTGACAGAACCATCTGTCTGCTGGATTTTTGCCCGTTCGTCTGTTTGTCCCCGTTCGTATGAATGGCTGGTTTCTATAGCCCAGCCATTCGAATGACTCTTTTTCCCGAACAAAACCGCCGAACGAACGGCCACCCAAGTGAGGAGTGTGCTGCAGGTTAACGAAGTGATCACCATTATAACGTTGTGGTTAACCGCAGACACTTCTCAATTAAACCGAACTCAGGGTGGTCGTCGTTCGTATGTCGACCACGAGGCAGCGGCCATTTTAAATCATGCGAACGCTCAGCGGTGTTTGGCTCTATTTCTATGGAACGGAAAACGGACACTTTTTCTGTCGAACACCGCTGAAACAAGGGAACGCCTGGCTGCCTCCACGAAAGCATGCGAACATCGGCCGTTCGGGAGATTGAGAACACACAAAAGACTTAACCCAGATAGCCCACCCATGGAGTCATTCGTGTACCGAAAGACTGTAAGAACTTTGACTCCATGGCGATTGAACTATGTGTGTGGGATCTGAGCGCTATTCGCTAATAATATGCACTCAGACCCAGGCTATCTGGGGACATGTAATACGAATGGGAAATGTTCAGTTTTCAGGTAGTTATGCATTTTTGTGTCTTTTATTATTTCATGTTTAAGATGGCGACTGTCCTTGTCCTGGAGTTAATTGAGTTACTTGGTAATTAACTCCAGGACAGAGGGGAGGGAATCAGAATGCCCTGTGGGTAAAATATGTGACTGTGTGTCAGAAATGTCCTTCTATCTGTCTGTACTTTAAGTCTTCCATTTGGTCCCCTAGGGGAGTGTCCACCAGGTGGGAGACCTGCATAAATACGGGCAGGTAGCCCACAGTAAAGCCAGATCTTATTTGACCCTCAATGCGGAGCTTCTGTCTCGTTATTGGGGGGATTTCTTCTTCACGTTTAGAGACTGCTGGATGGAACGAAAGCCGCTTTGGGGATATTATTGTTCGACGGTTCCTAGCAGTTCGTATATTGCCGTTCGGGAGTTTGGAGCCGTTCGTGGATTTCGATCGGGAGATTGCCGCTTCCCCTGCATTTGGTTCGTGGGTTACAGAGTAAGCGAACAGAGACTGTACTGCAGCCGGGGAAGGTTTACTAAACGGCGGTTTGGCTTAAAGACACGGGAGGTGTCTTAACAATTGGTGGCAAGCGACGGGATGAATCCTACAGCATTGGAGGTCAGCTATAAGAGATGCAGTACGAGGAATTAAGGCGTGCTACACTTAAGGACATATTGGAACGCCGAGGAAGGTCAGCAAGCAATTTAAAGAAACGGGAGATTATTGCTTTGCTAATGGAGATGGATGCAGCAACGGGAATGGAAAGAGTCAACGTGCCCAGTACCTTGGATTTAACACCCGAGGAAATACGATTCAACCGGGCAGTACAAATAAGGCTGGCACATTTTGGCCCCAACCCCTCAGCTGACATCGTGGTTCGTGTGCAGGCAGCAGTTGCAACACAACAGGCAGCCCGGGAAAGAGGAGCTGCAGCAGCAGAGGTACCGTATGACAATAATGTGGTTGCCAGAAAGAAGGTACCTTTTGCTGCATTTAAAAATTTTGTGGAAACAGAGGGAGAGATTGATGGATTTTTGGCAGACTTTGAGAGGCAGTGTGCGCTACATCAGGTACCTGCAGATGAATGGGTCACCATCCTCTCTGGGAAATTATCGGGCCGGGCTAGTGAAGCTTTTCGGGCCATCCCAGAGGAGGAGATCACCAGCTATCGGGCTGTGAAAGAGGCGCTCCTAGCCAGGTATGCAGTAACCCCAGAGGCGTACAGGCGGAGGTTTAGAGAAACCAACAAGCTGGTTGGGGACTCTTATGTGGAATGGGCCTGCAGAGTTCATCGTACCGCAGCCCACTGGATGGCTGGATGCCAAGCGGTAACTGGGGAGGAGGTGTTACAAGTGTTCCTGCTGGAGCACTGCTTTGATAGACTACCTGCTGGGGTCCGGGAATGGGTCAGAGACAGAAAACCCTCTACCCTACCCGAGGCTGCCCGTCTGGCAGACGAATACACGGATGCCCGCAAGTTGGATGGTACAGCTGCTAAAGCCCCTGCCAGACTGGAGTATCGACCAGCAGTAACACCCGCTCCTGCAGTCTACCAACCCCCAGTACACCGTACCCCAGCGGCACCACCAGCTAACAATTATATGCAACCAGCCCGATTTAATGCCCGGGAGTACTCCCAACCCATCCGGTGCTATGGGTGCAAGCAGTTGGGGCACAAGCGTCCTGAGTGCCCCCTGAACAGTGCCAACCAGGCTCAGTCCTGGAGGAGACCAGTTAACGGAAACCAGCGCCCACCTCAGCCTGCTGCTCACTGCCTAGAGCAGGAGGAATTTTGGGGCATTCTGCACGAGGCAGACCCAGTGCAAGCAGCTCACCAGGATAATCGCCAGCAACATCGGCAAACTGTGAAGCTAAATGGCAGAGTGGTGAATGGGCTGAGAGACACAGGAGCCACGATGACACTGCTCCAAAAGAACTTGGTCTCAGAGCATCAACACACTGGAGACACTGTGGCAGTAAGGGTAGCAGGGGGTGCCGTGTTTCGCTTACCTGTTGCCCGAGTACATTTAGATTGGGGAGTGGGCGCTAGGCATGTGGATGTGGGGGTGATGAAGGACTTGCCCGCAGATGTTCTTTTGGGAAACGATTTGGCCCCTTTGGTTTCAGCCTATGCTCCGATGGGCCCTGCAGACGTGAACCCAGTGACCACCCGTGCCCAGACCCGTGCTGCCGGAACCAGCCCACTTGCTGACGAGACCCAGGTAAGATCTCCTTCCCCGACTGATACCCCAGATCAGGTCCTCTTAAGCTGGGATTCCCCAGAGGAGTTTGGGAGGGAAACCCGGGCGGATCCGACCCTCCAAAGATACAAGGACAGGGCAGAGGCTGGGGAGGAAGGAATAGATGGGGAACGGTATGAGTGGGTGGGGGACAGGTTATATAGGATCCCTAAACCTTCCCAGAAGAGTGTTGCCTCTCCGCCGAATCGCCAGTTAGTGGTACCTGCAAAGTACCGGCAGGAGATTCTGCGGATAGGGCATGATGTTCCTTTAGCTGGACATCTAGGGTCCCGCCGCACAGCCTATAGGATTTCACAGAACTTCTTTTGGCCAAACTTTAACCAGGCTGTGCGGATGTACTGCAGCACGTGTGACACATGTCAACGGGTAGGAAAGCGGGGGGACCACCCTAAGGCTAGGCTATTATCGATGCCTATTATAGGGGAGCCCTTTGCCCGCATAGCCGTTGACATCGTGGGTCCACTGGCCAGGGCTAGTCCATCAGGTAAGAAATACGTTCTTACCGTGGTGGACTATGCCACCCGCTATCCAGAGGCAGTAGCGCTGTCTAACATAGAGGCAGAGACGGTTGCTGATGCCCTGGTTAGAATTTTTACTAGGGTCGGGTTCCCTAAGGAGATCCTCTCCGACCAGGGAACCCAATTCACCGCTGTGCTCACCCAGCAACTGTGGAAGGTGTGCGGCATTAAGCCGTTACTTAGCTCACCCTACCACCCACAGACTAACGGTCTCTGCGAGCGCTTTAACGGTACCCTCAAACAGATGCTGAGGACCTTTACAGACACTTGCAGAGACTGGGAGAGATTCCTGCCTCATCTATTATTTTCTTATAGAGAGGTGCCCCAGGAATCTACTGGGTTCTCCCCCTTTGAGCTGCTGTATGGGAGAAGGGTCCGCGGACCCCTAGATCTCATTAGAGGCCACTGGGAGGGGGAGACGGAGCAGGAAGGGACCCCCATAGTGCCATATGTTCTGGAACTCCGGGACCGCATGGAGAAACTGTCCCTGATGGTAAGGGAGAATCTCCAGGCGGCCCAGGGGAGACAGAAGAGATGGTACGATCAGGGTGCCCGACAGCGGGTCTTCCAGGTTGGGCAAAAGGTATTGGTGCTTAAACCTGTGAAGGCCAACAAGATGCAAGCATCTTGGCAGGGCCCGTACAAGGTAGTGGCGCAGATCTGCGACACTACTTACTTGATAGCCAGCTGTGCAGATGAGAGGATCCAGCGGTCCTTTCATGTGAACATGCTGAAAGAGTACCAGGAGAGACCTGAGAATATTGCAGCAGTGTGTGCCCCAGCTGCAGATGATTCTGAGAATTTACCCCTTCCAGATCTATTAGAAAGGGATTCCCAGACTGACCTTACTACCTTGGTACAGCTAGGGGACCGGTTGAACCCCACAGAAAGGGTACAGGCGCAGCAGTTGTTATGGGAGAAGCAGGCGACGTTCTCCCAGGAACCAGGTTATACCACCCTAGCGGTGCATAAGGTAGAGACCCCTGGACAGACCCCGTTACGACAGCCCCCCTACCGTATCCCTGAAGCAGTCCGTGAAGGAATGCGGAAGGAGATACAGGAGTTGACCCAACTTGGGGTTATCGAGCACTCCGACAGCCCTTGGGCCTCGCCTGTAGTCCTGGTGCCAAAGAAAGATGGGACCACCCGGTTCTGTGTGGACTACAGGCGACTCAACGAGCGGACCACCACTGACGCCTACCCAATGCCCCGGGTAGACGAATTACTAGATCGTATTGCCAGGGGGCGATATCTGACCACCATAGACCTGTGTAAGGGCTACTGGCAGATCCCCCTGGCCGAGGATGCTATCCCCAAGTCGGCATTTGTCACCCCATTTGGCCTGTACCAATTTAAGGTCATGCCTTTTGGGATGAAAAATGCACCGGCTACTTTCCAACGGATGGTGGATAGACTCCTGGATGGCTTCCAAGAATTTGCCTGTGCATACTTGGACGACATTGCGATCTACAGTGGGTCCTGGGAGGAACACCTGGTACATGTAGGGGTAGTGCTGGATAAGATTAGGGCCGCTGGCCTGACGTTGAAGCCAGAAAAGTGTCATCTAGGTATGGCTGAAGTGCAGTACCTGGGTCACAGAGTGGGGTGTGGGAGCCAGAGACCGGAGCCAGCCAAGGTAGAGGCAGTGGCTAACTGGCCCACACCTACTACTAAGACCCAGGTATTGGCCTTCTTGGGGACGGCAGGGTACTACAGACGTTTTGTCCCTGACTACAGCGCTATCGCTAAGCCCCTGACAGACCTGACGAAGAAGAACTTGCCTAAGCAGGTCCTGTGGTCTCCGGCTTGTGAAGCTGCGTTCCAGGCACTGAAGCAGGCTCTTGTGAATGCCCCTGTCTTGGCTGCCCCAGTCCCTAACAAACGCTTTCTCGTCCATACAGATGCTTCCATGTATGGACTGGGGGCTGTGCTGAGCCAAGTCGGGGAAGATGGAGGAGAGCACCCTGTCGCATATCTCAGCAGAAAGTTGTTACCCAGAGAAGTGAGTTATGCGGCAGTGGAGAAGGAGTGTTTGGCTTTGGTCTGGGCATTGAAAAAGTTAAGCCCCTATTTGTATGGGCAAGAGTTTTCCCTTGTGACTGATCACAACCCACTCGTTTGGCTTAACCGGGTCTCAGGAGACAATGGGAGACTGCTGAGATGGAGCTTGGCACTACAGCCCTACAATTTTACCATCAGCTACAGACCCGGTAAGCTGAACGGAAACGCAGATGGGTTGTCACGACAAACAGACGTTTCCATCACCTCGTAGTCCGGTCATCCCCAAGTTGACCCGCCACAGGGTCAAGCCGGGTCTGCCGGAGTGTCCCACAAGGAGGGAGCCGTGTGACAGAACCATCTGTCTGCTGGATTTTTGCCCGTTCGTCTGTTTGTCCCCGTTCGTATGAATGGCTGGTTTCTATAGCCCAGCCATTCGAATGACTCTTTTTCCCGAACAAAACCGCCGAACGAACGGCCACCCAAGTGAGGAGTGTGCTGCAGGTTAACGAAGTGATCACCATTATAACGTTGTGGTTAACCGCAGACACTTCTCAATTAAACCGAACTCAGGGTGGTCGTCGTTCGTATGTCGACCACGAGGCAGCGGCCATTTTAAATCATGCGAACGCTCAGCGGTGTTTGGCTCTATTTCTATGGAACGGAAAACGGACACTTTTTCTGTCGAACACCGCTGAAACAAGGGAACGCCTGGCTGCCTCCACGAAAGCATGCGAACATCGGCCGTTCGGGAGATTGAGAACACACAAAAGACTTAACCCAGATAGCCCACCCATGGAGTCATTCGTGTACCGAAAGACTGTAAGAACTTTGACTCCATGGCGATTGAACTATGTGTGTGGGATCTGAGCGCTATTCGCCAATAATATGCACTCAGACCCAGGCTATCTGGGGACATGTAATACGAATGGGAAATGTTCAGTTTTCATGTAGTTATGCATTTTTGTGTCTTTTATTATTTCATGTTTAAGATGGCGACTGTCCTTGTCCTGGAGTTAATTGAGTTACTTGGTAATTAACTCCAGGACAGAGGGGAGGGAATCAGAATGCACTGTGGGTAAAATATGTGACTGTGTGTCAGAAATGTCCTTCTATCTGTCTGTACTTTAAGTCTTCCATTTGGTCCCCTAGGGGAGTGTCCACCAGGTGGGAGACCTGCATAAATACGGGCAGGTAGCCCACAGTAAACCAGATCTTATTTGACCCTCAATGCGGAGCTTCTGTCTCGTTATTGGGGGGATTTCTTCTTCACGTTTAGAGACTGCTGGATGGAACGAAAGCCGCTTTGGGGATATTATTGTTCGACGGTTCCTAGCAGTTCGTATATTGCCGTTCGGGAGTTTGGAGCCGTTCGTGGATTTCGATCGGGAGATTGCCGCTTCCCCTGCATTTGGTTCGTGGGTTACAGAGTAAGCGAACAGAGACTGTACTGCAGCCGGGGAAGGTTTACTAAACGGCGGTTTGGCTTAAAGACACGGGAGGTGTCTTAACACACGGGATTCAAATGGCGCCCTCACTTCAACCGCCGACAGGTCCGTCCGCAGGGCCTTGATCTCCTCCGTGATCGCCGTCCGGAGCTCTTGTAGGAAGCCGCCCGAGTCTGCCTTGGTGAGCATGTGGGTGGAGATCATGGCCAGCTCCTGCTTGATCTGGGCCAGCGTGTCATCCGGGATGGAGTCGCCCATGCTGTCCTGGCTCGGGGATTCGGGCGCCATTTTGTCCGGTGGCCCGAAGCTGCCCTGCGTGCTGGGGGTGCAAACAAAATCATCCATAGTGCCCGTGTGGCGGCGTGGGGAGCCCCCCAGAGCCTGTGATTTCTTATTTCGGACCATTTTGGGTCGTTTAGAGCGCTGAATTATAGCTATTGTAAGACCAGGGGATGAGGAGCTTGGGCTCTACACGTCCTGTCGCATGCTCGGCTCAGACACGCCCCTTCTATATCGGGTGACCGGGCTTCTTCTCTCCGGGTCACCGGTGGGCGGTCCCTTACGTCCGGGTCCGGTCGGGGTGCCAGTGGGGTATCCAAGAGCCATTTACGGACCCGGATGTTCGGTAGTCTGAGGGTCCGCAATGCCCGTGGGATGTCATATCTTATTCAGAGGGGCAGATTTGGGATTCACCTCCCTCGCCATGCACCAGCTAGTCCATGATCTCCATGCTGAGTGGTATGCGTTTCTAGTGCTTGGCACTCAAGCCTCTGACAAAAGTTTGAGTCGACTGTGAAATATCAGAGATGGTCCAGGATCCCCTTAATGGAGCCAAGCCATTAGGCATAACAGCCCTCTGTCCATTAGATTGTGCGAGTTCCCATTCAGATCGGTCAGCAACTCCGGTAGGTCAGGGAGCAATCGCGGGTGTGAAATAATTTACTTTGATTCCAAGGTTCAAGCTTATAGGTGTCATATTAGATATCCTATATTAAAATTGGCTATCTTGGACTCAAGAAATGCTTAAAGCGACACTTGAGACCATATATGTTTAGTATTTGGCGCAGATAGCCCCCAAGTTAGCTGTCTCTCCTAAATCAGTCTGTTCCTTCTCTTTCCCGGAACTTATCTGTTATATGTACATGACGTTCATCCATATGTCTTATCTGTACTCCTTTCACTCCTTTTTAATATATAAAAACACAACTGACAAAATAAAGGTCAGAGGCTTATTTTGAATACCAACAGGTGTCTGGTGTCTGAATTCACGCTCCAAGTGCTCTTGAAATTATTTGGGCTTCCTTGAATATACCCAAGATCACATTGGATCTAAATCTAGGGGAATCCATCAACATCTCCAGAGATCTGGCGAACCACGACTGTCCTCCATAAGGGAGTGACTAACCATGGAACATCTGTGCCGTCTGAGATGGACGAGGGTCCGAGGTATGAGATTGAATGGTGGGAAAGCATAATTTCTTGTGTGTGGCCACTTCTGCATTAATGCATCGACCTCTAGGGCTGCCGGGTATTGTCGCCAGCTGAAAAACCTCGGAAGCTGTGTGTTCAGTTGAAGCAAATAGGTCGATGTCCAACTGTCCCCGCAGGTGATAAAAGGTTTGCCTGTCTAGCTTCCAATCTCCCGAGTCCCGGAGGTATGTGGAATTCCAATCCGCCGTGGAGTTGTCCAGGCCAGGAATATGTTCTGCAATCATTGAGATGTTGCGGGGACAAAAGTGCCAAAACTCTTTGGCGATGAAAGCTAATAGCTTCGATTTCGTGCCACCCTGGTGATTTATGTACCTCATCGCTGACACATTGTCCATTTAGAGTAGTACAAAACAGGTGATGTTGGTGGGTGTAAGGCTGCGGATGGCGAAGGAGCCCGCCAGGAGTTCCAAGCAACTGATGTGAAGTAAGGATTCCTCCTCTGACCACCTTCCGCTGGTGGCAATATTTCCACAGCATGCTCTCCAGCCGTGTAAGCATCAGACTCCATAATTAAGTCTGGTGCCACTCCGAATATCGCCCGGCCTTTCCAAGCATCTATGTGGGCGAGCCACCAAACTAGTTCCTCCCTGGAGTCCACATCGAGAGTGAGGCGCGCTTTGTATGTGTGGCCTGTGCATAGGTAGAAGCCTTTGAGTCTCTGTAGCGCTCCATAGTGTAGTGGCCCCGGAGAAATCGCCTAGATGGATGAAGCGAGCAGGCCCATCATTCATGCTAGTTGCCGCACTGATAAGTCTGGGGCCCGTGGTGTTCGCTTGATCTCCTTCTTGATTGCGTTGACCTTGTCTATTGGAAGATAAAGAGTCTGTTGAATGGAATTGACCTGAAAGCCTAAGAATTCCATATCTTGCGTGGGGTCCAAAATCGACTTCTCCCAGTTGATGAGGAAGCCCAAATTTTGTAGTAGGTGTAGTGTCCAATCTAAGTGGCTGAGTAGTAGGAGCGGTGAGCTGGCGAGGAAGATGTCATCCAGGTATATGATCACTCTGACCTGAGAGGCTATCACCGGTTTCATCAGTTTGGTGAAGCACCAAGGTGCCGAGGAGAGGCCGAATGGTAAACATGAGAAGCACCATTTCCTTCATTGCCAAGTAAAATGTAGCAAATCTCTGTACTCTTCCGCGATGGGTATCGTGAGATATGCGTCCCGAAGGTCCAATTTAACCATCCAGTCTGCCGGTTTGAGTAGATCCCTGAGGCAGTGAATGCCCTCCATTTTGAAATGCTGATACTGAAGGAAAGTATTCAAAAGGCGAAAATTTATCACCGGGCGTACGCCACCCCCTTTCTTGGGCACCAGGAATAGGGTGCTTGTGAATCCTTGGTGGCTCAACGGAAACTCTTGGATCGCATCTTTGACGACTAGTTCTAGGATTTCTAGGCAAATCAAAGTAGCTTGATCGTGTAGAAGCGATAACTCTCTTGAGGCCGTGGGTTGTAAAGGTGTGGACACTGGGTCTAACTGGTAACCCTGTACAGTCTGGAGGACCCACCAGTCTGACATAATCATGTGCCACACATGGTAAAAACTGGGCCAATCTGCCACCCACCCATACCTGGGAGGAAGGGGTAAACCATACACTTACCATAGGATCGTCGCCCCGATGCTGCTCCTCTCGAGACCCATGGTTGCCATGGCCGTCCTCTTGATGGAAAAAACTGAGACGGTTTATACTCCAGGGAATATCTTGAGAAGTGAAAGGAACCTCTGGGGGCTCAAACTTGTCCCCGATAGACCCGGCCGGGTGGATGGGTCCTGGATCTCCTGGCCTCTCCAAAAACCTTGGGCGCGAACACCCTTTTCAAATTGGCCTGTGCCTTGTCAATTGCCGTGAAACTCTTCATGAACGTGCCAAGGTCCCTAATGAATGACTCCCCTAATAGCATGCCATTTGCAGCTAGGCCAGGCTCAGTAACTACCATATTGACCAATTTGGGGTCAATTTTCAGTAATATGGCCTTCCTGCGTTCTGCCGTCATAGCTGTGTTGGCATTGTCCAACAGACAAATCAGGCACTGTACCCACTCGATAGCCACATCAAAATCCGTGGCAGTCTCCCCTGCCTTGGCGGACTATAAGAGCTCATAGAGCTTGGACGCTGTTCCAGTCACCTCTACGATCTTATCCTGACAATTGAGTGAAAACTCCAAACCCTTTTTGGGCTTTCCCTAAAAATTGTGAAATCTTGTGGATCATTTCCGGGGTTCTACATGCCTCATCGGGCACGATAGGATGGGGGCATTTAGCTCAAAGTTTTTGGTGCCCCTCCTTAGCGGTGTGCGCATGCGTAGCGCCAAATAGTTTGTGATGTGAGTGGGTGGTTTCCACTTCACAGAACGTGGGTTGCGCAAGTCATATGGGTCAAACAGGTGTCCCTGAGGGTACCAGAGACATGCCCCTGCTTCCTCCGGTGCGGTCACGGTGGCCGCGGAGGTCAGACCTTCTTGGACTCCAAGGTCAAAAGATTCCTCCGCCTTGGGCCTCGCCTCGTCATTGGAGGCATAGTCATGGCCGTCGGAAACCTCCTCCTCACTGGGGTCGGAGTCCGACCAATCTTCTAGGGCACTTGCCCGCTTCCATGATCCAGCCATCTTTGCCTGGCCAGTGGCTCTTTTGCGTGGAGCTAACGCTCAATCTGTGATCGCCGAGGGCGGATCCGTCTTATTAGGCATAGCCTGATCATTGGAGTGGGATATGAGATGTTTACTCTTAGTCTTCGCCTTGCGGGCCACAATGCCCGCAGTGGCGGCTTGAGTGTTAATAGTGGAGGGGACGTGGTGGGCACCGTGGGCCTGACACCGGGCCTTCGTCAGTGTTTGGGAAAAGGACGTGGACATTGCAGAGGCCAGAGCCTTGTTGATGGAAGTGGCCATAGTCGTGTCCAGGATATCCTTGAATTTATCAGAGGCCATTAGGACCGTGTCATCAGCCGCAGCGGGCTGGAAGGGTCAACACTGGGCAAACCAGTCCCTTTTATATTGTCACCTCTAGTTTGTATAGTGACACTTTATGCAGAATCCCCAATTCTGCTTAACTTACTATGATTAAGGGGAAAAAAAACACTAACACTTAGAAAGCAGGGTTGATTAACCCAGACTCAGATATCCATAAAGTCCCAGGTGTATGCCCTGCCAGAGGAGCCTGGAGCCGTCAGCCAGCACAGGAAGGTGAGCGACCACACAAGGGGTTTCCCGCCTATGCACGCTTTCACTAGAGAGAGTGCGCCAACAGCTATGTCCAGCTCCTCCCCTCATGACCGTGAGCACATAGAGCTCACGGCTGTTCTGGCGTTGTGGGAACCAGCCGCACTGGAAAAACCCCCATGCAACTAAGCAGACTGACTGCAGCTGCTCTCCCGAGGTTCACCACCGGCTCGCGAATGTGGGCGTGAAGTCACAAGGAAGGGAGACGGCGGGTGACAGTAGGGAATCAGAGGCAAGCAGGAACAGAGGGAAAACCAGGGAGGTTCCCAACGTGTCGGTTCCTGAGGTGGCTTCTCGAGAGCCACTGGGGTTCCACGGTCGTCCCCGGGAAGGGAAGAACGGAGAAGGTTTAAACTCCTCGAAACCATGCTGGTTAAAGAAGGAGCCTCTGGGTGCTCTGAATGAGCCTCTATGCACTTAGCTGGGTGGATGGCTCCTATTTCTCCCTACTCCGCCAAACACCTTATGGGAAAATAGCCTTTTCATGTTTGCCTGTGCTTTGTAATTAGCCATAAAGGTTTACGAGACGAACAAGGTCCTTTACAAAGGATTCCCCGAACAGCATCCCTTTGGCGGCCGGCCCCGACTCTGAAACTGCATTATTAGCCAATTTCAGGTTTGATTGGGCCTTGTCCAAGACAGAGAAGGGCCCGGTTCCTTGACCGCAAGCTTCACCAATTTGGGTTCTATCTTTAGAAGTATTGCCTTACGACGTTCTGCAGACATAAGTGTTTGC